ATCTTAGCTATTGTATAAGTTGCTGGGGTGGGATCCCTAAACATAAGCTGAATAAAATCTTTGCTATTCAAAAACGATGTATACGACTGCTATTTGGTAACATTCCCAATTTTGATCATAAAGAATACTACTTAACCTGTGCACGTTCAAGAACTTATAACGAACATATGGCTAAAAAGAACTACTGTCTTGAACACACTAAACCGCTATTCACTGAGCAGAAAATTATGAACCTGGAGAATCTGCACATGTACCATACATTTATGGAGCTATTCAAAATTCTTAAATTTGATGTCCCCCAGTCGATTAAAGATCTTTTCAAGTTCTGTCCTAGAAATGAAAAAACTTCGTCTTATTGTCCCATTACTGAGGTTAGATATCTCCCAACAGAACTTTTTGTACACCTCTACGAAAATATCTCATCCCCTATGTATTCGAAATATGTGATGCTAATGTAGATGGGATAATAATCCCGGGTTCTTCCAAAAATTCAGACTTATCAGCCTCGTCAGGTATTATTAAATCTAACCTTAAAAAGCACTTGCTATCCCTCCAAAATCGAGGTGACCCTAATATATGGTAACTAATCTATATTATATCTCAAATTCTACATCTGGTACGGCTCTGCACACATGATATCTCTCTCTGCCATGAAACATGGCTAACCTTTCAAACTATGATTTAAAACATAAACCTAATCTAAAACTCAACTGGGCTCTCCTATGTCACCAAACTAGACCAATAAGCAATTTTAGCTTAGATAATTATATTTTTCTATATTTGTATAATAAGTATTATATTGACGTAGTGGATGGTTGAGGGGGTTTCAAGCACAGGTCACTCTCAAATCCTAAAGATAAGCAGTGGCCTTCGGCACTTGAAACCTCTTCAAACCTCCCCTGATTTATTTATTATTGATATTGTTTGATTGTGCCGTAAAAATAAATATTTGTTTTATTAAAAAAAAAATATTTGTTTTATTAAAAACACATTGTAATTTGTAACGAAAACAGCAGCTTGTCATCTCCAGAGGTGCTAGGGGACCCATTTCACGATTTTACAGGACAATTTAATTAGTAACATCCAACATGATATATCTGTGTGAATCTAATATAACACAGGTTACAGTTGATATGATGACGTCATAGTAACAAAGTGACGTCATAGTTCACAAATGTTCACAAATGCCGTGCGAACTGTGACGGATATCAATAATTAGGGAACGACCCCAAGGATTGTGAAACTACTTTGATCTTTCAGGGGACTTCTAAATAACATATTATCATGTTTCTGGATCATATAGCTGAACATGTGTAAGTGTTTCAACTGCTTCAACTTTAATACTCTTAACCATAACACTGCTTCAACTTTAATACTCTTAACCTTAACACTGCTTCAACTTTAATACTCTTAACCTTAACACTGCTTCAACTTTAATACTGCTTCAACTTTAACACTGCTTCAACTTGAACACTGCTTCAACTTTAATACTCTTAACCGTAACACTGCTTCAACTTTAACACTGCTTCAACTTTAACACTGCTTCAACTTGAACACTGCTTCAACTTTAATACTCTTAACCTTAATACTGCTTCAACTTTAATACTCTTAACCGTAACACTGCTTCAACTTTAATACTCTTAAACTTAACACTGCCTTAACCTTAACACTGCTTCAACTTTAATACTCCTAACCTTAACACTGCTTCAACTTTAATACTCTTAACCTTAACACTGCTTCAACTTTAATACTCTTAACCTTAACACTGCTGACTGCTTCAACTTTAATACTCTTAACCTTAACACTGCTGACTGCTTCAACTTTAATACTCTTAACCTTAACACTGCTTCAACTTTAATACTCTTAACCTTAACACTGCTGACTGCTTCAACTTTAATACTCTTAACCTTAACACTGCTTCAACTTTAATAACACTGCTGACTGCTTCAACTTTAATACTCTTAACCTTAACACTGCTTCAACTTGAACACTGCTTCAACTTTAATACTCTTAACCTTAATACTGCTTCAACTTTAATACTCTTAACCGTAACACTGCTTCAACTTTAATACTCTTAAACTTAACACTGCCTTAACCTTAACACTGCTTCAACTTTAATACTCCTAACCTTAACACTGCTTCAACTTTAATACTCTTAACCTTAACACTGCTTCAACTTTAATACTCTTAACCTTAACACTGCTGACTGCTTCAACTTTAATACTCTTAACCTTAACACTGCTGACTGCTTCAACTTTAATACTCTTAACCTTAACACTGCTTCAACTTTAATACTCTTAACCTTAACACTGCTGACTGCTTCAACTTTAATACTCTTAACCTTAACACTGCTTCAACTTTAATAACACTGCTGACTGCTTCAACTTTAATACTCTTAACCTTAACACTGCTGACTGCTTCAACTTTAATTATACTGCTTTGAAGTGAACTGCAGATCATCGTCCTCAGTTTGTAGTAGCCTCATGGAATAATACGGATATAGATTTAACCATATGGAAATTAATTTCGTTTATATATTATTTATTTACTGCCCGTATTAATTATTCATATAGACACCGTATACTGACTACTCCCTAAACTGGACCAATTGTAAGTTTAACAACACACTTTTTCTAAATTTGCCGAATACGGAGCGAAGGTTGGTGCCTCATAACTCATTAATTATTCAACCACTCAAATCTTGCAATCCTCGATATAAAGTATTTCTAGTTGCAGTAAAATGAAATGTTCCCGATATAGATGATATATAGAATAAGCCATGTGTTACAATGGTATCATTACAATTATATGGACTACAATATCAGACTTACAAATAACGGTGCTCTTTATACTTTAACACGTACGTGCTTTAGCTTGATAGTACTAGTAGAGCTGGTACCTGGTCACTGTACTTGGTTTTAAACTTATCATGTCAACAATAAAGATCAGATAAACTAATTACCAAGATGGTCATTACTTCTAACGTTATTTTGTAAGAGCGGATAAGGTGTAAAGGAACTCGTGACAGCGATACAGGAATCTGATTGGTCGATGTTGCAAGCTGGTTCATTCACCACAGTATCAAAACAAACGTGTGCACTACCTCCCAGACATTACCAGCGTCTATAATACCCATAATTACAAACTTTTCTAATTAAGTAAACACGTTCTGACAATGGCAATAGTATCGATAGTATGTATTTTGGGACCGTGCCAACCGATCACTATACCAACAAAACATCATGTTTTCCAGAATCCCTATCACATGATAAATTAGATACAATCTGCTAAACCTTATAATTTATAGGGTTAATTTTATAGGTTCTTTAACTTCCCTGTTACTTCCTGTGTGTTATTGTTGCTGTACTTTTGTTGCAGCAGTCCCTGGAGAGCTCGGTACAATGTGAACTTTTCTTAATGCAGTATAATTATTATACACAATGGGGAGAATGTCGATCTTGTTGGCCACAATATAATGTATATAATATAGCGACCCGCCCACTTTACGTCACCCCCCCCCCCCCCCCCCCCCCCTCGTCACACACAGAACTACCACAATAGTATTATCGTACCCTCGTTAATCAACATTGTTGTACTCTGTAGCGGGTATCATACACCAGATGAGGGCCACACAATACGATACCAGTGTTCCGCCCCCTACTTCAGATCATGGGTTATAAGAGTTATAGTGCCTTTAAATACAGAATACAGTAGTCTCCTTTTGGCTTTCGTCCTTTAATTAGACATGAAATATTAGTAGACATGTCATTTTTAGTCATACTATTTAATGAGTTTAAGAGATTAGCCCACTGGATCACTCAGTTAATTGTTATATGAGATACCGTGTAGTTATTATATTATAGCACTATATTTTTACAATAAATATACATTTAATTGGACATATATTATTAAAAAGTAACTACGCTCAGAGATAATAAAGACAGCTGTAATGAGTGAATGTAGTTTTTAGTGTGGATGCCTGGTTGTAATATATGTATTGTACAAAATGATCTGTTGCGTAATACCTTATATTATTACATGAATATTCAATATAATGACGCACAAACGTACATGTTGATCTGTAACCAGCGTTTAACACAGAGTTCTGACAGTTTTGAAATAGGTAATAGGCGACCCTGGAGTAATATAATCTGAACTGTGTTATATATAATATAATATCTTGATGAGATATAAGAATGTAGCTTTCTCCTACAAATGTTGTGCCAAAAGTCATGTACCAAAATAGAATTGATATCAAAATATAATGAATCTCTGGTCTTTGACAGTTTGACGTTCACGTATCATTAAGTCATTTATGGTGGCTCAGTAAAATTAAATATTGAAAATATTCAACTTGAATGATTTTTAATAGATTTGTTTCAATACTTTTCATATTTGCTCTCTTGAGAGGGATTAACTAGTTGCTGAGGACGAAATAAGAGTCTCCATTCACTATAACATATTGCTAATTATATTTAATGGTACAGATTTATTTTAACCAATGTGTGTCGCAGAGATGTGAAGAGCATGCAGCCGAAACGTCGACAATATACCTGATGTACTTTGTTGTATATTAGAATTAGAATTATTAGAATTAAATTGTATAGCGAGTGGAGACTCTCATTTCGTCCTCACTCATCAGTGATCAATTTTGGATTTGTCTTAAATTAAAAAGTTGTCAGCCTCCATGAGTTATCCTTGTTATAAACTATCACAGCGCAACAAGACGTCATGTTGACGTCTGTAATAAAATACTCACGATCAAACAGCAAGGAGGAGCTAGACTAATCACATAATAGCATTCAATACCTGGTACATGTGTAGGTTAGTGACGTTTTTATTTAAGTTAAAGTTGATGAAATATTTTAACACAACATGCGTGGTTTGAATTTGACAATTTGACAATAACCAGATGATTTTTAAATTTCTTTTGATCTTTAAATTTTGAGAATTGGCAATTGGGTTTTTGAGTTGAAGGTTGAAAGCAATAAAACATAGGATGCTGATACATAGAATTAAACGAAATAATGATGGAAATGATTATCATAGTTAACATAATTAATTAATTAATTATCATAATTAACATTTAAATATTATAAGAGCATAGTACATCAATATTTAGGTAAAATAATTACGATACCAGTATGCAATGGTAAATTTAAAACGCTGAATCATAGATTATAGCCTGAAGAATTCGGGCAACTCTTTCATTGTTGTGAAATATCTGCATTCTGTAATAAATAAATTGGCAAACTAAAAGTTGGAAATGATTTTAATCTGAATTACCATCATGTCAAAATATTAGAAAATTAAAAGTTAATGATAATTACTGAGTCAATCTCAAAATAAAACCGGAAAAATAACAACAATTTGAAATGTTTAAATCTGGAAATTAATGGTTTCGCAAACGTATTATGTGAATTAAGAACAGTCCCTACTCCCTAACCCCATCCAAATGCAACTAGGCAATGGTCGAAGTTTAAATAAATAATGGCACTATATGAATTATGTATTATATAATGTACTTGTTTAAACTTCAATACTGCAAGGGAACCACCCGGGAGGTGGGACAGGTATTCCTGACATGTGACAGCAATTAACTGTCCAGCTTCCAGCGTTGATCAATCAAAACCATGAATAATTGTCACATGTCAAAATAAATTAGCCTCACCACCCCATGTCTATTAAATTGACAGAATCAATATATTATAATATTATAATTTATTTATGTATGATGTATAATATGAAAATTTAAAGATACCGTGAAATTATAATGAAATTTACTAATTGACTTAATTTTAAGAATAGATCATCTAATCCTATCATACTAATAAATGCTAATTACTATTGTGGAGAATCTTCAATCTTCAATCTTTAATCGACATAATACATGTCACAACAGATCAGTCAAGAACAATTTCTATTTTCACTTCTGTGAAAATTGGGATGATCGAAGTTCTAGAAAGTAATTCCTGAGCCATAACAAGGAACCAATTTGTACGCTAATACTTCCATACTACTAGAATCAATACCAGCTGTCACAGTGTGGCTGAACAATGTTTTTACTGGATCGTCCCAGAATAAATTAACATCCTAGATATAGAGATTGTTCCAACTTTATCGACATTCTCAATTAATACTTAATAGTTTATATTGAACTAACTTAAATACAAAATTTATCTGAGCTAGTACACTAAGCATCATAGATAATAAGTTAGACGCATCACAATCCGCAGCCTGAAGACTACAGTTCAAGGAGCAGCTGGAGAGACTCCATCTTGTTGGCTATTATCAGTGAGCTCTATAGAGGAGGACTCTCCAATGGTAGTGGTAGATTCACCCTCCAGCATGTGCCATCTTGTAACACGGTGGCCGCACGAGGAGAGGGCATCTTCCCAGTGGGACCTGGTAGTGCCACCTGATTCCTTACCTAACACCAGTCCTCCGATGTAGCTGTGTCTTTTGAGCCCTGTGCAGTCCCACACAGTTATCTCAAGACATCTATCATTGCTTTCTATGTCAAAACTGCTTATGTCATAGGTAAATTTGGCTTTATGCCCAAATTCTGGGTTTGAGGTTTGCTTGATGATCTCTGTTTTTCGCTTGTAGGTGTTTCGTTTCAAGGATGGTCGGATGTTGACTTTTACCATTGGATTTGGCAGAGTGTCAGAGCCAGGGACCATGAGCATGCTACATCTTACAATAGTTACTTTGAGCTCTTTGTTAGCTTGGTAATGCAGTGAAATTTGTATCCTTCCTCTGTCTATAACTGCGGATGCTTCATGTGTTTCCTCTTCCGGCTCTTTGAGAACCTCGCCATATAAATGTTGCTTTTGGGGGATAAGACCATCTAAAGGTACTGTGGTTATTCCAATCATATCATTTTTGGTCATTCTGTCATAATCTAATACTGTTAGTCTGACCATTTTTGTCTTTATGTCAGAGTCAAAGATTCCATGGTATGTTAACTTTTCATTGAAGACAGGATTCAAATCACATTCCTTTCTTGAAGTCTTGAGTTTAGTTGCCTTTGGGTGTCCTGGTATCAATGTACATTTAACATATGGATCACTTGTTCCTCCAACATCCATTGGTTTAAGCTTATGACCAGAAAATACTTTAACATTTAGCATTTGTTCTATAGGGTCATACTGAAGAGAAAACCTAATAGCTCCCAGCTCTCCGGTTTCCAGATCATCCTCGTTTTCTTGAGAGTTAATATCATCTGATCCTATCGCATCCAACACCTGGTCCTCCTCACAAGGTATTCCTCCACTTGTTGACTCATCTCCATCTAGCTCATCTTTGTTGGACTTATCCTCTCCTTCATCACTATCACTGTCTTCAGAGTCAGAATCATCAGACTCTTCGGAGTCATCAGTAGTGCTAAGGTAGTCAGAATCAGGATCCCAAAAGCTCTCACTGTTAACTTTATTGGGTCGTTCAATAGGTTTCTTTTGGACAGGCGAATTTTTCAATTTTGGAAGCTGTTTTGGAAGCTTTGGGGGAATAACATACTTTGGAATAGCATGGAAGAACCATGCATTTGACTTTTTCCATATTTCCCTATACTCACTGCAGACACGGCAAAGAATTTTCGGTAAAACAATTTGTCTCTTCTCAGTTTCTACTTTGCACTTACTACAGACATTTCTTTGACACATATGACAACGGAATGGTTTGGCCTTCAGGAAGCCAAAGCTTGCATTGCAGAATAAGCATGTCTTGTAACCATCTCCCTGACTACACTTCATGTTCTCAAATCGTTCCATTAATTTGCCAATCCTCTCCTCTTCTAACTGAACCAGCTCATTGTGTTTCTTGATCACTTCTTCAATCTTATCAATCTCATGTTTTGCAAAAGATTCTCTAGTACACGTGGGTTTCAATCCAGATTGAACACTTTTGTAACTCCATCCCATGCCATTGTTCAATTTTGATCTCAAGCAAAGCTCTCTGTCTGTTGGGCATACCCATTTGTGAAGTCCAGCCTTAGACATGATCTGCAATAAAATTGAAATGGTTAGAATTGTATAAATTGAAAGAGGGATTTCAACAGACCAATAACAGTTACAACCCCCCCCCCCCCCCCGCCCCATCAACCCTTTACAGGATCCACCCCTGATTTGAATTAATGAGGTCATGTATTAGTGCTTTTCAATACAAATTTAAAATGGGGCAATCATGTAATGGAGCCAGGGTTTGGACTAGCTTTCACCCGCTCAAAATGTTTCCATCACGATACATATAATCTATATGATAATTTGAAAGTTTCTTTTTGTTTGTCTGTTTGACTACCCACGTGCAAGTTAGATGAGAAATAAGAAGTTGCGTAATAACACATGTGGAAAAGCAAACATACATGATGCACGTTCAATGATTGTTGGAATAGCATTTTGATCGGTTTAATTGTAATAACCTTGTGTTTAAAGTGTTTTACATTTAAATCAGATGTATCTTCGATTAAACAGCAACGGATGTAAAGTTTTAAAAAATTAAAATCAAGAATATCCAGAGATCTTTTCTCCCGGAGCGAGTTATTCCGCATTGGAACAAACTCCCACGGACGTCAAGAACCCTTTGACAGTTTAGGCTTTAAAATTAAATAAGGAGGATTTAAGAAAGATATGATTTCTAAAAGTACATGGTGGGCCAAAAGTCAGTACACATATGTTGGACTTTATAGCTCTGTCACTGAGTGACTATAGTTAGTGGCGTAACGTTGCCTGTTGGCGCCCCCCTGCCGAAAAAAGCGCCCCCCTGTTGGCGCCCCCTCCCCTTTTGGTGCCCCTCCCTAAAATTGAACAAATTAGGTGATTTTAAAGAATACGCCGGTAAAATCTCTAAAAAATTGTGTATCTAGAGCAAAACGCGCAGTTTTGCTAGTACTTTAGTTAAGTTTTCGAAATTGTCCCACATTCAAACGACGATTTGGCGCCCCCCTAAGACGGCGCCCCCCTGCACAGCGGGGTCAGCAGGGCCTTTCGTTACGCCACTGACTATAGTGCCCAAATGAAATAATTCTTTCTGGTATAACTAAGACTATCTTGGTCATATTTAGAGGTGGTGTTCCTGATGCTAGATAGCGGGTATTTAGGGAACCATGGACATTGTTGTAAACAACACGAACGGATAAATTTGGTCCAGGGTTTAGTAATAATAATAATAATAAATACAACATTTATAAACCGCCTTATAGCTAAATCATATAACTCGATATAATTTAATCCTAGAGATAAACTCCAGTGCTTTCTAAAGCGGCTCTTACATTAACTGAGCTTAGTTTAATTGAAAATTAGACATGACAAGTTCATTTTACCTATATAGGTAAAATAAAAAGGCCTATGTAAATGCAAAATCAATCAAATGCTAGAGAAAAGAAGTATGTTTTAAGCTTGGTCTTGAAAGATGTAACTGATGTAAGGAAGATGTAAGGAACAACTACAAATTATTATCAGGGAAATATTAAGGAGAGAAAACCAGACCACACCTAGACATGGCCCCAAGCCAGCTGCTGGTAATTACAGAAAAACAACTTCACAGTCTATCTCGAGGACATGGTTGGTGACAGGTTGGGTGTCGTGGTAAATAACAATTTACCAGAGATGGCAGTTAAGAATAAGGCTGTCCCGATGCCCCTCTTCCCCTATACACAAGCTTCAAGTGTCTGAGATAAATGGTACAAAATATTACCATAAAGTAAAGATTTATGGACGACCTCAAACATGGTACGGAGTGTATTTTAGGTTGGAGGGTGCACCAGGGAGTTTATTAGCATCGATAGCAAAAGAAAATATATACAAAATAACATAAAAGTAAAATATACCCAATAGAGCACATAACATAAGAAGACTGGACAGCAAATTTTCCCTGTTACCTCTATTACTATTACTGTTGATAGCATACCTAGAAAACATACCAGTTGCAACACGGCGTAACGTTGCCAGTTGGCGACCCCTGCCGAAAATGCGCCCATTCCCCCCCCCCCCCCCTGTTGGCACCCCTCTTCTTTTGGCGTGTTTTATTAGGTATAGTATTTAATAATATTAAGTGACATACAGTATGCAATCACTTTATTTGAGAGAATATAATGATCAGATCCAATAGGACATTGATGCAGACTATTAAAAAATGATTGAATTACTACGTCAGTATCACAATGGATTAAACCAAATTAAGTGTATAATTCTGAAATAGAAATTTGCCAACACTGGCATCCCAGCTTTGAAGTGGGATGAATATCATAAAAGCCCCTAGTGTCACACTTAGGAATAAATTTAACGGGTAATACTCGTACAATAATTGTTTCAAATATTCAAAATATTCAAATATTCAAAACCGTCGACGAGTCCAAACTCCAACTCGGCGCGCGTTTTCTGTTCATGCCATAAAACAGTTTATGAAAGCTCAAGGAAAACATCAAAGTAAAACAATTTATGCCTATAGCAGCGATCAAAGAACAAATTATTCATAAAATAATTACAAACATTACCAGGGATTTTTTTGTTGAAGTAACACCTTTGTGACAATAAATCAAAAAACATTTTTGTCAGACTCGCGACGCAGCGCACGCACGTGAAAGGCTTGTAAAACGATAATTGAACTGTTAATGCTTTATATATAAGCTGATTCGAATTAGTTTTTGTTTTACAGTTGTAGCGCGATGCACTACAGGGCCTCGCCGCGCATCCAATAATGCTTTTTTTCGATAGATCGGCAAAATGCACGAATGGGCCTCGCCAAGCTGCGAATTATTGACATTGTAAATCAAGTTGAGAAATTGAAAGTACTTAGTATTTTCACTTCACATAGCCATGTCATGTCTACGCGTACTGCATGACGCGCTAATTGTTTCACAAGTAGAATAGACCGCCTTCGGCGGTTGCGCGCTACTGCAAGCGAGAGGGCTCTGGTTAGAGCAATATTTTCACCCATTTGTACTTAACTGATCAAACACGTTAGGTTTTTTTTCTTGAGATTCGGACGGTAAAAATTAATAAATACAAAAATAAGCCAGGAAATTTGTTACATGAGGTTGATATTTTTACTTTTTCACGTGGTCGGTACGTTACAATTTGTCCATTGTAACGGACCGACCACAGAGTACTGTGGGGGCTGCATATGATCTAGTTGAGTTCTTACGAAGTCAAAATGAATGTCATCTGAGTCATGGAAAACCCTAAGGTAGTATTTTATCGAAATTACCCTCCCCATGGTTTGGAGTGGTGGCACACCCAAAATGACTTTGTATGAAGACTTTGCTGCAGCGCAGTAGTTCACTTTTTCCATCTTCGTCATACCCATCTAAGAGATCAGCTGGAATTTGTACAAAACACTATTAATCTGAGGAGATGTTAATTCATATTGCATATAGAATTAAAGAAATTTGGGAGTAGCCATTCCAAACGTTTTCTAAGGTGTTTGTCAATCCAGAGATGTCGAAACAAAACTGAGAAAGATTTAACCCGCCGGAGAGGTTCCGACTTGTGCATGTGGGTTGGACTTCTTTTAAAGATATAAATAAGAAGTGAAGAAGGTCTTCAGTGATTGGTCTGAGGCCTTGTCTGGTCAGAGTATACGTTATAGTATAGCTTGTCTACGATTCCACTACTTGTCAATGTCACATACCTCGAATTATTTGTTATAATATAGTAGTGTTGAAAGTAGTTGAAAGTATTAAAACAGTATAACAAAAGGATCGTTGAAGTTGAACATGGAACATTTACACCAATAGTCCTATCAAAAACAGGTGGATTGGGATGAGAAGCAAATACTTTCTTCCAAAAGTTAGCTGATAAAATGTCTATATTGTGAGGCAATGACTTTTATCAGGAAAAAAGAGTAAGATTTGACCTATTGAGAACAACAGTCATTGCTCATCGAGGAGAAAGAGGGTTGAAAAGTAGTAGTGTAGTAAAAATAGCAGGCTTAAATATAAATTTAGAGCCAATAAATTGAAATGACTACTTAAAGGGTTGTTATAAAATTTACTCAAATTTTTATTGAATTTGTATATTGAATTTTTATATAAGGTCATTGTGATATTATGTATATACTAGAAAGCCCGTGGTCATAGGGAAGAAGGTAATATTATTTGTATCTATCTTTGGTAACTTCAGTTTTTATCGCATCAAAAAATATTCGTCACAAACGAAGATACAGCCGAATTAAATGTAAAACACGTTAAACACAACGTAATTACCACAAAACCGATCAAAATGCCGTTCTAACAATCTTTGCAAGTGAACGTGCGTGTAACAACCATCGTTACTATGGTTACTATGGTTACTATGGTTACTAATACTATGCAACTTTTATTTGTTTACCTAATTTGCATGTGGGCGGTCGTACATACATTCTACAAAAACAATTCTTTGAATTATAAGTAAGATTGTTTGAATTTCTTTTCTTCATTGTTAAAGAAAACTGTGTCCCAAATCATATGAAATTACTGAGCCTACTAGTTACAAACGTGCTTGCTTCACGTGTTCAACAAACACGTTTGTTAGTAGAGCCTACTAGTTATGTATATTGTATACTTATCTTATCAGTTATAAGTCGATTATATATCGCACTTTTCGTCAATGACTTAAAGTCTCTTATCAACTCATTGTAGCCAGTTATTTAAAGATTTTGAACATCATTATCTTTTAAACTGATTGTAGGAGAAATGAAACAAAGAATTCAGTAATCACAGAGTTATTAATATTTGATTACATCCTTTCAATTGTTATCACGTTTCAGGGTAAAAGATGTCATGGGGGCTGGAGAAATAATAGGAATCAGTGTTGTAGCTGTGGTTGCAGTTGTAATCATCGTAATCTATGTTTGCAAATGTTATTCGGATTATACACTTGGCTATCATGATCAGAATATCAAACCAATCAACCTTGACAATGACCAGGACTTGGCATTGATAAGTGTTGAATGTACAAACCCGATGCCCCATGACCCGTACTATGCAGATGCTGAATTAGCTAGAAAAGATCACAATGATTTAGAAATGGTGTCAATGTCAATTGAGCAGTTTATGCG